CTGATGACCTCCAAAAGGTAAAAAAAACCTACCTTCTTTCCTTATCCTCCCTGCAAGAGTTCAAAAAAAATCCGCCATATTGGATCCGCCATCTTAAATTTCCTAATAGTGCCGGTTCTTGGTTCTAAGCTATCTCCATACCAATTTTCAGCCACATTGGTTCAGTCCTTCTTGAATTATAAATAGTGTAATTAATTTTGGATCTTCTTCTATATATAGAGATTTTGGGTCTTGTAGTAGTTTTTTGTGTACTTATACTTTACACCATCCCTGTATATAAGGTTCCGTGAAGAATTTGAATGGTTCTCATAGGGCATCAACTTATTAAATCAATTATATTGACCTGTGCCAGGTAGCCGTGCGGACAGAGTGTCAATATTCTAATTCGCATCCGCTTGCCGGTCGTGGGTTCGATTCCCATCGACTGCAGAAATTTTTCTGATGGCCCAAAAAAGTGTTTGGGATCACACGTTAAAAGGTAAGGACCCCGTCATTACATGCTCGCACAAGTCTCTCGAAGACTTCTGAGGGTGGCTCGTAAGGGGGCAAACCGAATGACGGATAGAACAATTCTAGAAACATTTTTGTGATCAAGAATTTTCACCTTCTACATGGTTAATTTCTTCCTGTATGGTCAAATGAAAACTTATTTCAAGCACAATGATATGATACTCAAAACAATCTAACTATTAGAAAAGTATAGTCAGCAAAAAATGGATGGGTTTATTCAATTTTAAATATTGAAAAAATACTGGTGGTATGAAAAATATATTTTTTTCGATTCTAGGTGTCAAGTCCTGTTACAGCTGATAGTCCCCTAGCTCCAAGTGGTTCACCACAAAGTGAAATATACCAACCAAATTCAGTTTCATCAAATGAAAGTAATAGTGAAACTGGTTTACCTGATAGTTTTTGGGATAAACCCGAATTTGTGGTAACTTAAATGAATGATATATTTCCTTTACAATGGAAATCATATTTTGTGCTCTCTATTCAATTGTAATTTTGTAGGAAATTTCACAAATTAATCCCGCGGAATTAATAACTTCTGAAGATGATGTAGCAGCTGAAGAGGGTATCAATAGTCTGCAACAAAAATCTGGAAAAACTAATGAAAGTGATATTTTCATGAATCGTACTTCTAGAGACACTCTCTTGAGCAAAATTGTGAATGGCACTTACAATTCTAATGCCCTGAACGGAAAAAATGGAAGGAAAAATAATAAAACTAGTGCTGAAAATGCTAGTAGTAGTACAGATCAAAAGTTGACAGTTGCTACTAGGGATGCAGCAAAAATTAATAATAGGTGAGGATTCTTCTCACTCAAACCTACTCAAAAACTGTTACATTCCCATTCCAGCAAATGTTGTGGAAAATTTTCAGGTATTTCAAAAACATGTGTACAGTCTATCTGAGAAGAGATTACTATCAATAAACCAAATCACTTTAATTGTGATTTCTATTATTTCTAAATGTTAGCAAAGATTCTATTTTACTGATTTTTCAAACTGATATCAGCAGGGAGATTCTATTTCACGAATGGAGTCGAATCGGCCATCTTTATTGAACTCGATTCCATTAGTGGATAGGTCAAGTGGAGTCCAATTGATGTGTTTTGTCAATCTATCCTTATCTATCATGGGATGTTTCTTTTCATCTTCATCTCAATTTGAGGTTAGATCATCTTGTTGATGTGAAAGTGTGTAATCAACTGATTACTTCATAAATATATCATTTTGGATGTTGTTCAAACTCAGATATGCCCACCGGAAAATGTTAATGACATTTTTAGAACAGCATAGTAAATTGTCACAAGACGATTTTCAGAATCGGAGTCTAATTGTCGTGAAATCAATGAAAAACTGTGATTCAGGCTAAGCCAAGTCAATTTATTGGGGCTTGGCGAGCAAAATCCTGAGAAATGGCTTAAGGTAGCATCTTTGGTATGATCCACTTGCATAAAACCTCAATGCACGGAATATTTCAGATTCTGTAGTAATCTAATCACTAAGTGATGGTCTCAATGACTGATATCAGAAGACGAACCAACCTTTTATTTTCAATCTAAATAGCTCAATAAATCTTTTTTCAGGTAAAGAAAAATAGTTAGGTTTAGGTACTTCTGTTTCATAGTTCTTGTCGTCGACGAATTAGATCCAAATTTCTTTGCCTAGCTTTAGTTGCTAAAATACCATCTGCAACGATTAGTAACATTATTATTTTTGTCTTGACATTGAAAAAATTGAAATTCATAAAAACAATATTACCACTATAACCTCAAATTTGTGATGGCTTTGGGGTTATTCGCCAAAAACCCGACGATTTCGAAGTTGAATTCGATCGCGATTTGATCGAGTTCATCATCGTATCGAACGACAATCGACGATCGTGAAACAGTATGCCCCTGCAGAAACAGAGAAATAAAGAGGTATTTTTCATCAATATATTCTGATGTCGTCAGTACACTTGGTACTGACGTTTCCAGGGATGAATTGGATCTGCATTTAGAGACGACACAGAGTGAAATCGATCAGCTGAAAGACATATTGCATGGATGCAATTCTCTCGATGCCAATGTACTTCTAGGGGTAAATATGAATCAACTGAGCATCAATCAAAGTAGGTTAGAAAAATCTATTTCAGCTGTTCAACGACGACGTCCCAGGCTTCGGTTTGTCTTGCATGCATGCCGATAGCGGAGAACCTATAGATCCCGATTCAGCTGAAACAGCGGGTTAGCATTTTCCAATTTTAGGTTCGATTCAAACTGAATGCGGCGTTTTTTAATGATTTCAGGGGATCCGATGGTTTCGGGTACAGAATTGGCAACTTGTGAAGGCAATTTGATAGACTTCAATGAACTTTTCGACGATTCTCTGGATGGTCAAGATGCAGCTGATGCTGAAGCTGCTGAGAACAATTTTAGTTCGTCAATCAATACACCATTGATTGTGAAGAGTGAACCGATTTTCCCAACCCTCGACAAAGATCTTTAATGTTCAAGTGTTTATTAAAATCAATTGAACATTTCAGAATCAGGCAACATTTTTCATGCTTTGGTATCCCATTCGGTTGAGGTTAGGAGAATTCATTAGATTGTTTTACAATTTCTTTCGGATGGTTTTTATCAATTCGACACATGAACTAGGGTGATGGCACAAATATATAATGAAAAAAATTCGAATACCAGAATGTACAAGAACACATGAAAATATTCAGAGTTCAAATATAACCAAAATTTAGTTTGGTTTTCTTTTATCTAGCCTAGCCCAAAATCAGAAATGGTGGGAATGTTAGTATTGATAAAACAATATAAAAAATCATTCAAAACTGCTATATTCTGGATGTGAGTGGATATCATTTTTCGAGGCCATATAGTATTAAAAGTAAACCCCCCTGAAACTATTTGGATGCCACTAGTGAAGGGAAAACCATCTTCATTATTTTATCTATCTTCCAGTTTTTGTGTTTCTAATTTTATAGATACCGAACCAATTGTAGACCAATTTGGAATGAGGATAATATTTACTTTTTGAAATAGTGAAGTGGAAATTACAAAGGAAAATCATTTCACAAATTTTACAAATGTGCAAAATAACTTGGACTTTCCAAATATTTTTCTGAGTTTTGGATAATATATTGCATTTATAAAGGAAAACCTCAAAGGTTCAATTCACTTGTACTCTCCATGAATTTACACTCATATATCAGAGGAGGCATTGGATTGTATTTTTTGTGGTATTCATATGGTTTTATAGTGTAAACTTGTTATTTCTGGCTGTCAGCAAATCAAAATAATGGTTTGAATATATTTTTTTATTGGCTTGGAGCCGGCTGTTCCTGTTTGCTGCCGACAGGATGTTTTTTAAAACGAGGCTTCTTTGATGGCTTCAATAATGATTGTCAAATTTCACGATTTTTTCGGTTATCAACAGTATGTCAAGAGCTGTTTATTCAAAATATTTTTGGTACTAAATGAAATGTGATTTGTGGATAGATTTTATTTAACAAAAATAGCAGTTTTTTTTTTTTCATGTCAATCATTACAATCTCTGAAAATTTATTCTGTATATTTTCAGAAGTCACTAGCTGGAAAATTGTAGACACAAATAGCATTTTTTTTTTTTGCATGGATTCCACACAAAATATTGTATATTATTTTTTCTGCAGTTTCTTTTTTGTTCATTTTGTTGTTTTGTTCAAACAACATGTTTTCTCACTTCAGACATAAGTTTTTTTTCATTTTAAATGCATTTTTTGCCTTCGAGATTTAAATTTTCTCAAAATATCTGTAAATATCCATTTGTTGATATATTAATATTCCTATTAAATTACTTATTGGCGAAATATATCTTTATTATTAACATCGTAAGTAGTTTTTTTTATTTTTCTAGTAATTCTTCATGATACAAATGAGTTCAGAACCAATGTTCACTCAAGTTCATTGAAACAGATAAAAGTTGGAAGTAAAAGGAAATTAACCAACCCATTATAATATCAATCTCAATTCTCTTCAATTCTCTTTATATCAATCATCACCAGTAATTTATATTTATATGAAGGGCTTACAAATTGCTACAGTGTGATCAACTCCACAAAATATTTGTTCAACATACCCTCCTATGGCAACCTGAAATTATAATTTTTAGTTGAGATAATGGAATGAGGCAAGTGGACTAATTTTTTTTATTTCATTTCTTGAATAGAATCGTCACTCAAATACCTTCCAATTTCATATTTTTTGCTAAATCATCAATAATGAAACGGTAATTTTCCAAGGGCTAGAAATTTACCACAAGTAAAAACTGACATCAGGACTTCCTAAGTAGGGGCAGACCATAGCACAGTTGCCATTGAGAACTTCAGAAATATTAGTTATTAGCTTTGTTCGCGGATCACGTTTTGAATCGATTCGGAACCAGTCCAGAACTAATACAGAATTATGAACTGGCTCGGGATTTTATTTTACCGCGAACGATTTTTTTGAACTGTCCTACTGTTAGACAAGTGGCAAGTCTCCTAACATGGAGTGACGTGGAGTAACCTTCTCTGAATCTCCTTCCTGCCATTTATAATAATCAGAATTAGCATATCGATTTGCCAACTCTTCGGTCATTTCTCGAGTTAATAGAAAATGCTCTATGTATTGTTCATCGCTAAACTGTGGCACCACTTCCTCAAAATATGCATTAGTCTTTGGAACTTCAATAAGTTCTAACAACTCTTTCATATCCTCATCGCTAGATGATAAATGGTCCGACATGGTAGATAGAAAAGAATAATAAAATAGACAAACTCTACTATATGAATGAAGATGTCAATTCATATCATAATCATAGGTTATACCTAGTTATTCTTCTTGTTTGATCGTTGCTGCATCAAAACAGAAAACAGCTGACCTGACAACGGTCGATATTGCGCATGAACAGGAGAACCGAACTTTTCGTCCTAACCAAAATCCTAGGATCGTTAGAGCCGATTCTGAATCACTCCGAAAACGCCTAATAGGCGTTTTCGGAAACTTACTCTGGGTTGTTGACTCGATCTGAACGGGTCACGTGATGGATCAGTCGGATCACTTATCCTAATACTATAGTTTACGAACTTATCAGGTTACTATTTTATTGAGTCAGCTTTATACTATACCTCTTGGAATAGAACTTCTTTATTTCTTACAGCTGTATGCAATTTTTTCAGTTTGCTATACGATATCAATATTTTCGGATCAATTTCTCCATATCTTTAAAAACATACCACTAAACTCTTAAAAGATACATGTTGTTATTGTTCTAGAAATGATGAATATTGCTTCTGCTCATGATGTTGGTGTATTTTCATCATCAAACTGATGCTATTCAACATAATTCACTTCTTCTTTAATTGATGAAATCAAATAATATCTGAAGTGACCTTAGCAATACATGAATCGTGAGTAGTTCTGTGGTAGTAAGTGTATGATCTAAAGTAGTAACTCTGGCTGACCCTGCTTTGGAGCAGGGTTGCGAAACATGAACCCGAGTTAGTAACACTGAAGTTTCCGAACATGGGTATGTTACTCGGGTTAGGTAAACGAACGTGCAGGTTAGGGATCGAGTCAACCCGAGTAGGTTTCCGAAAACGCCTGAAAAGATCCGATATGATCCGCGAACACGGAACTGTTACAGAAAATTCTGAACTATATGATCCGCGAACGCTGTTTTTCGGACTGCGCATGCGAATAGTCCCTGAACTGGTTCGGAATCGTACCCGTGAACAAAACTATTCAATAATTCATCTGACGTCACCATTTATCCTCAAATGGCGGCCATGATGGCAGAAGTTTGAAATAAGCACTCTGATATTCAATGATTTTGAACAGTAAATAGACTCATTATTTAGATAAAAAGTGGTGTAAAAATTAATTCAGGTCCCTGAGGACACAGTGGAGTGATTGAATGTCAAAAATTCATTCAGTCCACTTGCCCCAATATTATTTTCACCTTCAGTGGGAAATACTGGTCCTTCTCATTCCCTAATCCAAGACATCCATACTTATTTCGTCCCCACATGTACAAGTCTCCAAAATTTGTGATGGCAGCAGCATTATACAATCCACATTTTACCTTAACCACTTTGCTATCTACCTGGAAGTGATTTTTACCAAAGAGGGTAGAGGGAATGTGAATGGGTACTTTGGATTGTTGTGCCTCAGGACCAGCACCCAATAATCCATAACCCCAAGAAAATACATTACCATCATCTCAAAATTTAAAAAAAAAAATTATGAAAAGATTAGATAAGTTGGGATATTTACCATTGACTACTATGCAGAATGAGCCTGCAGTTGCTATACTCTTGATTTTCCCTAATTGGTCCAACATTTTTATGTGTCTTGGTGTTGAAATTTGTTGATCTTCATTTGCTTCAGTCATTTGGCTATATTCAGTGTTGCCCCATCCAAATACCTCACCTTTCTCTAGAATCATTGAAAATGTAATGATCTCACATTTCACTCATCAGTTTTGACTACCATTCAAAGCCAATACAAAATCAGAACGACAAGTGAGCTCAGTGATTTTTTCTGATTCTATATCTCCCTTTACTCTGGAGAATTCTGCCCAGTTGTCAAAGTGGCCAAGTCCTGTCTGACCATCAGCACCCCAGCCACAAGAAAACACAGCACCATCTTCTGTAAGTGCTAAACTGAAAAGTACCATAGGTAAGTCCCAATACCTATTCCATTTAATCTTCAACAATGATTTAGCCTAGGATTCACATACCTATGATCTTGTCCACATTCAATATCTATTATAGTTTTGCCATTGATTTTCTCAATGTGGTTTACATAATTACTCATGATATAATTCTCATCTGATATAATACTCCTTCCACATTGCCCATAAGCATTATTTCCTAGAAGAAATATTCCTTCATTGGTAAGAATGGCTGTATGTGCTCTTCCTGCAGATACTTTGATAACCTTTGATTCCCTAGGATTTTTGAAAGGTAAGTGTATTGGTTTGGGTTGAAAAAGAATTTCCAGGGGTTTTCCTTGCCGTACCTCATGGTAACCAATCTGTGAATCAGTGTTTATACCTGTACCATAGAGCTTTTCATCTGTCTCACTTTTCACTGCAAAAATTGAGAAACCAAAACCACAAGCTGCTGTTGTAACCTGAAAAATATTTCATATTCCATCATTTAGTATTTTCCAATGCTTGCGTTTTTTTCTCAGTAGCAAGGCTTTGGATACTTACTTCAAATGTTTCTCCTATTCTTACCCTTTTAGGATATTTCAAACAATCTTGTTTCTCAAGATCATCAGATGATTTCATATATGGTATGCCTAGTGCTCCAGTATATATATTTCCCCACGTAAATACTCTTCTATAACCTTTCTTGCTCACGTTATATTGAAAAACTAGAAATCAAGTCCATGGGATCAGAATCTTTCCCTATCATTTTACTGCTGCATTTACCAGGTAGTTTATTTGCCTCTTCTGGATCTACTGGATATTTTCTTCTACGAGTGCCAAAAAATCTTCTGCTTGAAATACATCTAATCTTCAATCCTAACTTGGTCAAATTCATGTTTCTAATCTTGAATCTTACTCCCTTATTGTTTGAAAAAAGTGTGGTTAGTACAACTACGGTAGTACGGTGTTGTAGGAATTGTAGTTGCTAGGCTCAGATTGCTAGGAGCTTAGATCATACAGGAATAGATACTGAATGTACTGGTTGCATTGTTTTGTAAAGGTAGGAGGCGCTGACTACGGCGTTTTCGGGGGGGTGAGGTCATCTTTGGTACAACTGTCCAGTGCCGTGCATTCATAAAGGGGTCCAAATTTGAATAAAATAGCAATAAATCTTTTATTGTTAAATACAATCTGAAATGTCGAAATTTCACTTCTGATAGGTTTCCAAAAATTCAAAAAGTATTACCATATCATTAAAATAATCATTGATTATTTAAATGTTCTGCTTAATAATTATAAATTAGTATTTTATTATTTCATAAGTGTTTTTTTTGTGCTGATGAAAATGATTCATTCAGGAAATCTATTACAATATATAATACTCATAGAAATGGAAGAAGCTAAAGAAAGTGATATAAGAAGAGCTCAGTGCAAAGGTGCAAACATTCATGTTTTAATGGTAGTAAAAACATTAACTTCAGGAAATGATTAAAACACATTTCTCAGATGAGGCTTTTTGATGATTTCAATATTTTTGATACTATGATAATAGAATATTATGGAGCTGAATGTCCATTGTTGTTGAATGAGCATAAAATCAGATGAAAGAATCATTGAAATACATAGAGGTAGTAGTAAAACACGTTTTTCAGGTTAGATTGTTCTATAATATATATTTGATGTATAATATCAGAAACAAATAATTTGTACAAACAATAATCACTGATTTTTGAAAAAAATAGATTTTGTTACATAACAATAATTGATTCTCGAATTGATTTTTGAAATTTGAATTGTAAATATCCATCATTACAATACATATTTCCATAATGGTTTCTGCACTTTAGCTCAGGTACTTATTCTCTTGAAGATACTAGAATAACTATTTGTAGTATTGAAGTGTTTCTGTCAACCGCTTGTTGTCTCTTATAAGCTTTGTTATGATTGCCCTCTCTTGTTGTATTATCTTATTTGAAATGTGAAAACTCTGTCTTGCTTTTCGGGGACTCCTCATATCATCTGATGAAAATCCACCAAAATGATGTGGTAGTGGTTTCCTAAAGAAAAAAAGATTATATTTCCAAATCTATAAATCAATCAATTTACATAATTTTATAGTATCACCTTCCCCAAGATGGAATTTCAATACACTCAAATCAAAAGAACAGGACATTCGGAAATTTATGAATAGGTATACAGTATGTCTCACTGAGTTGGAACCATATGGAAAACAACTGTTTTATTATTCAATTTAGGAAGAAAAGTTATTCCTCAAAAAAGTTCTTCAAAGTCCCAAAATACAATCATCAGATATCAATTTTTCTTAGTCGTATACATGGTGTATCAAAAAATGTGAATTGTTCCTTTATATTTGACACATGACATATACGACTGAAATACTTTGATATCTGATGATTGTTTTTCAATTTTAGAACATGCAGAGCTTTTTATGAGAAATAACATTTTTTCTCAAAATGAATAATGAAAAAGTTGATTTCCATAGGGTTCACACTTAGTGAGACATACTGTATAAGTATCTATATTTAATGATCTTGAAACATTTACCTTCTCAATGCAAGCTTTGCCTTTTCTCTTTCACCTTCAGATGCAGTGAAAGTTCCTGTAGTATTTGTCTGCTTAGAGCAAGAACTTTTTACAGAAATGATAGGAGCTTCTGATGAATTTTCCAACATAGTGAGAGTTTCTTGGGTTTTTGATTTGAACCATTTCAAGATGTTCTTGTTCTGAAGATGTAATATCCAAAACATTCCTCTTCTTCTTCATTGTTTTCCTGTGAATGATCATCATTTGAAACTAATAAACTAAATGTTCAGAATATAGAAAAGTTCCCTGCTTGGTGATGATTATAATATATGATAAACAGTTTTCGTATCTTACCCCTTTTGATAATGAACTCAAACTGGTACTGGGTAATGCTTCTAAATCTTCTTCTGTAGGTGTGATCACAACAACCTCTGATGATTCCCTGAAAAAAAAAAAATTCTCCTTGTTTATATATGTTTCATATAGTCAATTTTATGAATATCAACATACCTCACTTTGGGAAAAGCTTTTCCAAATATTTCAATCCATAAGGATGGGAATGGCTATCTTCAGCAGATAAATGATCAGAGCATAGAAAAGTTTGTTTGGTGTCAAAGCTTCTACCCTGAATCCAATTATTTGGCACATGGACACCACTGCACCCTTAGTTCGATATTTTTTGGAAATCTAGAACATTTGAAATCATTTCATTGATGAATTATCCTCCGAATGAGTTCATAGAACAATTTCAATATTTTTAATGATCAATGCCCTACTGCCTGTCAGCATCTACGCCTGAGGAATACTTACGAATGAAACGATTTTGATGAAGATTTAGCATATTTGCTATTACAAATAGCACAGGATCTGCCCATAGTCTTTGTTTTCACAATACACTTCAATTAAAAACAGTTTCTCTCACAAAAACACCAAGGAATTGATAAAATCCACGAAAAACACAATGCAAACAAAACTTGTAAACATACAAATCATACACGAAACGAAGAATCTGAACACGAACGGTCACGAACATGGAACGTCACAAGCGGCAATTTCAAATCGTCCAATAGGAAGACTTGTACTCTATTCCCCCCTTCAGTTACAAAACAAATCGCCCTAGATACATCATCTATTCCTGTATGATCTAAGGCTAGGAGATTGGCGGAAATTCCCATTCGGATGAAAACTTCAGATTTGTATTAGGATCTCATGAAATGCAGGAGGCACTAGGCAGGTCGAAACCATAGACCTATAATAGGTATTTGTCAAGTAGAAGAGTGATATATAGGTGGCGTTGTATAAATACCTATGAAAAATGAAAATACCTTCCTGCACCATCGCAACCCAATCACCTCAAGAAAATGAATCATTTTTTTCGGCATATGCCAAACGGGTTATACAGATTAAAAACAGAGAACATCACTATGGAGAACTTTGAAAAAATTAATGTATTCCTCACAGGAAGGAATCTGATAGAATAGATAGTACATAGTAGTACCAAGTTACAAAGTGCGAAAATTTGAAATATTGACGACGTTGATTTGGGTAGCAAATTCAAACAGGAGTTCAGGAACTCAAGTAGGTGTTGCAGCTGGTAAGAGAGGAGTACTTGAATTTTGATGGATGATATTCTTGATTTCGACCAATAGTAAATCGACAACGCTGTTTCTTGGGTCTTGCGCATTTTAAAAGCCACGTAAATAGGGAAAAATTCTCAATTCTGGTCGTGGCATTGAAGTTGACGTCTTGTTTAACGCACCAAATCCATTTGCCGGCCAAAGTAACGAGAAAAGAATTGAAAAGATGTATTTGTTGAAAATATTAACTTTGTGTTTGCTGTGCTACACATGTTCGGCGAGAGAAGAGGATGTCCTAGATTTGGTGGACAGCGACTTCAACTCAAGACTTGCTGAACATGAAACAGCTCTCGTCATGTTTTATGCACCTTGGTAAGTTTCATTCAGTGAATTTATTAGTGAATCATTAGCATTATACCTACTGCTATCTGCAACCAGCAATTTCAAATCTTCTACCATTCCTTCGTTTGTCATTCAGGTGCGGACATTGCAAGAAATTGAAGCCAGAATTTGCCAAAGCTGCTGAAGATTTGATCAGAAACGACCCTCCTGTTGCTCTCATCAAGGTAGACTGTACAGAAGGTGGTAAAGACACTTGTAGTGAATATTCAGTTACTGGTTATCCAACTTTGAAGATTTTCCGCAATGGAGAGTTATCTCAAGACTACAATGGACCTAGGGAGGCCTCAGGTGAGAAAATGGTTATATTTACTTGATATTGATTCAACATCTGTAGTCCTAAAGTGTTAGGGTCAGAAAACAGTCACATAACCCTTTAGCAATGTCAGTATTCATCTAAAAGTGCACATTTCATAACCAAAGTCAATTAATAATTTTTGTTCAAAGGCATTGTGAAATATATGAAAGCCCAAGTGGGTCCCAGCTCTAAAGAACTCAAAAATGCTGATGACCTCAAGAAATTGTTGGCTGCTGAGAAAGAAAGTACTGTTGTTGGTTTCTTTGAAAAAGAGTCTGACCTGAAAGTTGCATTTCTTAAAATTGCTGATAAACTCAGAGAAAAAGTTAAATTTGCACACACCTCATCTAAAGATCTTTTGAAAGCCCAAGGTGTCAGGTATGTATTGTTCTGATAATAATAATTGTATAATAGTACAGCAGCTTTTGTGGATTGTTTTAGTGATGGCATTGTTCTATTCCGTCCTGAATATCTGAAGAACAAATTTGAAGACAGCAGTGTGAAATATCAAGGAACTGCAAATTCTGAAGAAATCAACAAATTCATAACTGAACACTTGTAAGTAAAATTTGATAATTAGCTTTCCTATTGTTTGAAAATGTGTTTTTCAGCCATGGATTAGCAGGTATAAGAAAATCTGACAACAGAGCTGAATTTGAGAACCCACTGGTTGTTGCATATTACAGTGTTGACTATGTCAAGAATCCTAAAGGTACCAACTACTGGCGTAATAGGATTTTGAAGGTAAATAAATATGTTCAATATTGTATTGGTTGATAATTGCAAATCTATTGATATGTAGGTTGCCAAAGAATTCCAAGGAAGAGTGAAATTTGCAATAAGCCCCAAAGATGAATTCCAACATGAACTCAATGAATATGGTTTAGATTATGTTAAGGATGACAAACCAGTGATCACTGCTAGGAATGCCAAGAATGAAAAGTTCATTCTGAAAGAAGAATTCTCGTAAGTACATAATATGAATATCAAAATCAGTAGGATTGTTCAGATGATCATCATGCCATAATAATTTCCATTGACAATCAATGACTTGTTATTTTCTTAGCTGATCATGCCAATATTGAATATCCAACTTGAACAATATACATGTAAGTACATAATTTTTGTTTCTGTAGTGTTGAAGCCTTGGAAGTTTTTGTTAATGATATATTGGATGGAAATTTGGAAGCCTACATTAAATCTGAGCCAATCCCAGAAAGTAATAATGAAGCAGTAGTGGTTGCTGTTGCAAAGAACTTTGATGATGTTGTGATCAACAATGGGAGAGATACTTTGATAGAATTCTATGCTCCTTGGTGTGGACATTGCAAAAGATTGGAGCCAAAATATACTGAAGCTGCAGAAAAGGTAAGTGAACATTATTAGCATCAATTTTGATTGTTCTATTGGGAAAATGTAGGCATTCTAGGGAGTATATTCCAACATGAATTATTTTTCATATTGATTTCCCATAATCATGATTTTTATTTTCCAGTTGAAAGATGAAGATGTTGCCCTGGTCAAAATGGATGCTACTGCTAATGATGTTCCATTTGGATTTGAAGTGAGAGGCTTCCCAACGCTTTTCTGGCTTCCCAGGGACTCAAAGGATAGACCTGTTCCATTTGAAGGGGGCCGTGATACTGAGGACATCATCAAGTACATTGCTAAGCATGCTACAAATGAACTGAGAGGATATGACAGGAGTGGCAATACTAAATCTGATAAGACTGAATTGTAGTAGTTGTGAATTTTGGTTTAATTTATGATACATTAAGTGTTTTTAAAAACTTTTTATAATTCCATGTAGGTTAAACATACTTTTTTGAATAAATCCATTTGATTTCATCTTTATATCTGTTCAGTATTTCTCAGGCTATTTATTCCATTTTGATTAGGAAAGTCCTGGTTTACTTTGAAAGTAATAATTCTTCCACATTTTCTCAACTTCAACTTGCTGGAAAAAACTTTGTAATACTTACAAGCACAATAAAAATTCTTTAAATTGTTCTTCCAATTTTCCTTACCTGCACACATTAACATCATCTGGATCATTGCATCTAAGTGAGCAAATCCAAGAATTATCAATTTCATTATAAATTTAAGTTATATATTGTATTTTGATAAAGTAAACATCAGTATGAAATTCCATTTTAAGTTTAGGTAATCATGACTGCTTTCTTATCCACCATCCTGATCAAATAACAAAAGTTTGAGGCTCAAGAATCAATTTATGGATAAAAAACAGAAGAAATCATAATAATCTGGATAATAATATACAAAGTGTATTTGATGTCTGAACAGGGTAATTGAGATAATGATAATCACAGAGAATTATCAGTAATTTCATGTATTCATCTTGAACAAAAATTTTTAAAACTTAATAAAATTATTCTAACTATTTTTATGCCATAAGTGCAACAGGCTCCTTTTCTTTCTCTTTCACTTTTTTGTCTTTGTTTTTCTCCTCAGGGATGATATCTTTGTCCATTTGTGGAATGGGTTCTACAGAAGGCACCTCAGGCATTTCTTCACTGATGATTGCAGCTAATTCTGCTTCCACAGCTTCTTCATCTTCTTCTGTGAGTTGTCCAGTTAATAGATCATTGATTTCATTTTGTTTTTCAACACCCTCTCGTGTTTCTTCAAGTATACTTTCAATGTCAGCAATATCCAGAGCATCATTGACTTTTTTGAGAGCATCATTTCCTACCTTCAATCCTTCAACTACTTGGAGCTCTACAATGGCAAATTCTATATCATGTGTAAGTTTCTCAAGGTTGTCCAATTGGCAGTCAGTTTTTACTAAGAGTTGTTCTTGATATCTCTTCTTCCGAAGCAGTAATTTGGCTCTATCTTTTTGTCCACTGTTCAGAAGTTTTTTGGCTAGTTCCCTATCTTTAGTCAAGGAAAGTTCTATTCTCTTTTGATACATTTTAATCTTATCTCTTTGTTGCTTTAGCTGCAAAACTGCTTTGTCCTGCTCTGTTACCCTTGAAGGTTTCTTCTTTTTACCAAATATGATGCCCATGTTGAGGCTGGTTTAACTGATTTTTACCTAAAATCCTCACGACTTTAGGAGAATGCAGAAATGATATCCAATTTGCCAATAATAGATCATGAATGTGGAGTTGAATGTGTTCAACTAAAAAACCAGATAAACTAGATGAAGACAATTACTTAAAGCCCGATATTTTTCAAGAAAAGACAGTTTTTACTCACTTGAGTTTTTTCGATTATATTTTTATATCAATTCTGCTCATAAAATTCTCGAAAACAAATACAAAATACCATATCATAGCAAAACACAAATCGTATAATCATAACATAACCTCAAACAATAACAGAAAAAAAATACCGAACCATGCGAGTTTTCTGTTCTCCGGGTTATCGAAAGAAATTCCATTTCTCAAAAGGCGCTAAGTTCCAAAATCCCCTATTCAATATTTAATATAATACCCACTTAACATTCTGTTATCCTGAGACTCAAAATCCAATTCCCTTCTCACTGTTTATACGATTCCGACAGACCGCCCACCAAAACGACTTTCTGTTCCCACCACCACCGTTACCAGAATGGAACTATGGATTATGGAGCAAATAAACCGCAACTACTCACTTCACGACTTCAGGAACGCTAACTTGCTAAGCATAGGAGAAAAGAAACCTTTTGATCTTCTGCTATCCTGATAGCTAGATGGTATTTCCTTTCTGAAAGCAGCCAAACATCTATTGGATTTTCCCTAATACTAATAGAGATGGCGCTAGGGTTTTCGACTTTTCGTCATGATTTTGTATTCCATCGCATTTTTAGATTCTCCCACTAGTGTATATATATATAATCAAGGCTAAAGAGCTGATTTAATCAATATATCACATTTTTGGGGTCTATCAAAAATGATTACAGAGATATGGGGTGTTCAAATTCGAGATTTTTCAACATTAGGATTTTTTTGTGTTGAAACTATTCATTATCGGTCAAAACGGCTCACATATATGTCCCTATACCTCAACTTTTGATTCTTTATTGACTGATATTTGATCGGAACAGGTACAGGGTGGTTCAAGATTCAGAATTCTGATCATCCTGTATCTGTTCCGATTAAATATCAGTAAATAGTAAATCAGAAGTTGAGATAGGAACATATGTGAGCCGTTTTGGCCGATAATGAATATAGTTTCGACACAAAGAAAACCTAAAGTTGAAAAATCTCGATTTTGAACACACTATATCTCTGTGATTTCAAGCATTTTTTGAAAGAAGATACTTTTTTGCGTTTTTCGAATATTCAGGTAAGTTCTTGAATATTCTAGGACCTAGGATATATTTGGCGTATTACTCAAAATATTTGTTCTGCTTGGTTGAATATAGAATTCGTTCCTCGAGCGAGTATTCACATCATGTCTATCACTGTTGCGAGCAAACAGTTGCTTGTTAACAAATACATAGATACTTAAATTCAAATATAAGGAGTCTGATGTTTTAGTGTTTTTTAGGATTTCTGGAAATCCTATGTATAAAGTTTTATGTGTCATTTCGAATGGAAACAAATAACGGATTCAACCTCGGTTCAACTAAATAATAAAATACATGTCGTATCACCAAAATTATAACCCCTGAAGAAATTGAGTACGCCACTGCTGAATTCTTCGCAAAATTCTCTGTTAGACGTAGTATTCATCTTATATCTTGTATATACTATATAACTGTCCCCCCTGTATAATTTCATTATCGTCATTATTCATAGATAAATCATTTGTTCGGAGATTTATCAGTTAGCAGCATGATTCATCCTATTAGTCATTCATTCGAGAACAGGTGGTGAATCAAGACAGTCTTATATTAGATGTCATCATGTACGGTCGAATTTTGTGTTCGCAATTGAAAAATACGCTAAAGGAATTATTTTTCGTTCCAAACGGAGTGTTCACTTAAAAATGAGTGCAAGTGTAGTGTTTTTGTATCCCTCATTCAATTCAGTGATTACATTATCGCGATCGTGTGCTGTTCTGGTGTTTCGTGTTGTTTCATCAAAGCTTCGCATTTTTCACGCTGGTGAGTGAATAGAGATTCTCTGTTTTTCCTCATATTTCCCTGTTTATATGTAACTTGATTACCTTATATTTTTTCGAAATAAGAAACGTCTGTTATTCGTTGAATACTTCCAAGATAATAAGTAATTCGAAACGAGCAAACCAGAAGAAAATAAGACGATTCGAATTTTTTTCATGGAAAAATAACTTTTTCCTATACAGAGTGTTTCAGATTTGAATGTACATACTGAACCTGTAGATAGAGGGAACTTTGGTGGTTCCAATCACTCCCTATGAATGTGTCTTCCATCTTTCATTCGATCTTATATAATCAAAATAATATGTCACGATGAGCTTACACTATCTTTATATTGAGAATCAGTCGAGAGAAATCCATGAAAATGTGCATTTATATTTCAGAATATTCTCGCTTCATGTAAAATATTTTCGACAATGCAGTGTTGCCGCTTCTACTAGAAAGTAGTAGCAACATTGATATTTCAAATGGAATACCCTGTATTCCATCGCATTTTCAGATTCTGCCTAAAGAGCTGATTTCATCAATATATATCACACTTAAGGTCTATCAAAATTAATAACAGAGATATGGGGTCTTCAAATTCGAGATTTTTCAACTTTAGGATTTGCTTGTGTCGAAAACTATTCATTATCGATCAACACGGCTCACATGTCCCTATCTCAACTTCTGATTCACTATTGACTGATATTCGATCGGAACAGATCGATACAGGTGGTTCAAGATTCACAATTATAATGAGCATGCAATTTTATTCATTAATTTCTCCCGAATGATTCTCGATATACAGATAGTATGTAAGCTCGTCGTGACATACCCTGTATAGTAAATCAGACATAATAATTGTTGAAGTGAAACTTGGATACTCCATGGCCCACTAGCAAAAATTCATCATAGTCTGATGTTTTAGTGTTTTTTAGGATTCCTGGAAATCCTATACAATCCTGAATAATAAAATACATGTCGTATCACCAAAATCATAACCCCTAAAGAAATTGAGTACGCCACTGCTGAATTCTTCGCAAAATTCTCTGTTAGACGTAGTATTCGTAGTAACTCAGCACAACCCTATTTCTAATAACTTCATAGAGAAGCCTGGTAGTCTAAACCAAAATGTACATTCAGAACTGAAACACCTTGTATATCTCCTTGTGCAATTTTACACTCTTCGAGAAATTTGCTAGATTTTTCCACTACTTCTGACTGTTAAATTCTTTCAAATCACTGGAGATTTTCGTGAAAATTATATTTTAAGCATGTGTTTGAGTTTTTCAAATCGTTAGAGTTTCGAAAATAATAATGCCAGTATATCCGTGTTCAATTCTTAATCTTATATCTTGTATACTATATACCTGTCCCCCCTGTATAATTTCATTATCGTCATTATTCATAGATAAATCATTTGTTCGGAGATTTATCAGTTAGCGGCATGATTCAACAGATTAGTCATTCATTCGAGAACAGGTGGTGAATCAAGACAGTCTTATATTAGATGTCATCATGTACGGTCGAATTTTGTGTTTGCAATTGAAAAATACGCGAAAGGAATTATTTATCGTTCCAAACGAAGTTTTCAATTAAAAAGTGTAGTGTTTTTGTATCCCTTATTCAATTTAGTGATTACATTATCGCGAACGTGTGCTGTTCTGGCTTTTCGTGTTGTTTCATCAAAGCTTCGCATTTTTCACGCTGGTGAGTGAATAGAGATTCTCTCTTTTTCCTCATATTTCCCTGTTTTAATTTAACTTAATTACCTCATATGTTTTCAAAATAAGAAACGTCTGTTCGTTGAAGACTTTCAAGATAATAATTCGAAACGAGCAAACCAGAAGAAAATAAGACGATTCGAAATTGTTTCATGGAGAACTAACTTTTCCCTGTACAGAGTGTTTCAGATTTGAATGTACATACTAAACCTGTAGATAGACGAAACTTCGGTGGTTCCAATCACTCCCTAT